CACTTGCAGGCTATCTGCAAGTGTAATTTTACACAAGAGGGGCTGCATTTTGACAGCTGCTTCTGGTATGTAATAGATAGCAATTCCCACTTGTCATTTTGATAGCTGGTAATTGCCAGTAATAGCGATGGGGGGGATCAGCAGCAGGGGAAGAAAAGCAAAGTGTAAAGCATACGACCTGGAAACGTTAGTCTTTTAGTTTTCTATGTCAATATGTTGTATAACTACTTCCCCGACCGCCAAAATCTGGTTCCCTTAGGCTAATAGCAACTTGCCCAGGTCTAGAAGAGCCTAGGTCTGCTAGAGGCAAGTCAGCTGATATCTTTGAATCGTAAACTTGTATTTGCTTGGTCTGTTTTCCAAACATTTGGGAATATTCCTCTAAGTCGCAAATATTTTTTTTTACCGTTGGTATATATTGCTCAGAATGGCTTGCGTATTTCAGTACAGAACACTCTCTACCCTGTGTGTTGATAAAAAATTTGATGTTTCCAATGTAAAATCTGAGTCAGACTGGAAATAGGTGGTAGGGAGCCTGAAAGTTGCAAAATGTGAGCCAACAATCCATGGAATCCGTTGTCAGTGTAGCTGCTGGCCCAAGGACAGGAATGCATATTATTAAGCCTGTATGCATGCCATTTCAGAGTACATATGTGAAGCTGTGTGTTACAATACATATATTTGGGGAATATGCTTATTATTCTGTGTAAAAACACAGTTGTTGCTGGTCTTGCTTTTATAGTCACCACATACATGCATTAGGATAAATATTAGGTCTTTTATAGGACTGGGTTCACACTGTTGCACTCCAGTATATACATTACCATGCCATTCATTCTTAATGCTATGTTCATGCACCTGTGTTGCAGTGCACCACAACAGGCCGTAATCACTGCCATGTGTTGTGGTGCACTGAATTACAGAAAAATAGTGCGTGCATCATTTTTGGTGCGCTTTAGTGCAAAAAAAAAGCCCATGTGTTAACATGCATGTGTTTACGCACCACAACAGTGTGAATCCAGCCTTGCAGTGCTTAGAAATTGAGATAGAATTCTTAATGACTGAGGTAGCCTACTCGTATGGCTTTTTCCTTATTACCATCAGAAGTTCCTGCAGCACATAAGCGTATACAGTACTAATATATTTGCATTATTGATCTATGGTTTCCAAAGATGTTTAGACTAGGGATGCACCGATTACCATTTTTTCAGGACCAAGTATGCGTGCCGATACCAATTACCAATGCCTTTTTTTTGTCATCTGACAGTTTTTTTAAAAACAATACAGACTTATGATTTTAGAATTTTATTTGGGGGGGGGGGGGGTCCGTGGCGGTGCCATCCCCACGCCCCCTCCCCAAAATGCAAGGGGAAGTTTCTCAGCGATTTCCGGTGCGTTCCAGCAGCTACCGCTCTGGAAAGCACACGCTTTCGGTGTGAACAAGGCCTTAGGTTTCTTCAATTGATGTCATCTGCAAACCAAAGGTCACACCTCTGAACTACATGAATGGAATAGTAAATACAATGTAACACATTGTTGCATTATAATACTCAATGACACTTGCAGGCTATCTGCAAGTGTAATTTTACACAAGAGGGGCTGCATTTTGACAGCTGCTTCTGGTATGTAATAGATAGCAATTCCCACTTGTCATTTTGATAGCTGGTAATTGCCAGTAATAGCGATGGGGGGGATCAGCAGCAGGGGAAGAAAAGCAAAGTGTAAAGCATACGCCCTGGAAACGTTAGTCTTTTAGTTTTCTATGTCAATATGTTGTATAACTACTTCCCTGACCGCCAAAATCTGGTTCCCTTAGGCTAATAGCAACTTGCCCAGGTCTAGAAGAGCCTAGGTCTGCTAGAGGCAAGTCAGCTGATATCTTTGAATCGTAAACTTGTATTTGCTTGGTCTGTTTTCCAAACATTTGGGAATATTCCTCTAAGTCGCAAATATTTTTTTTTACCGTTGGTATATATTGCTCAGAATGGCTTGCGTATTTCAGTACAGAACACTCTCTACCCTGTGTGTTGATAAAAAATTTGATGTTTCCAATGTAAAATCTGAGTCAGACTGGAAATAGGTGGTAGGGAGCCTGAAAGTTGCAAAATGTGAGCCAACAATCCATGGAATCCGTTGTCAGTGTAGCTGCTGGCCCAAGGACAGGAATGCATATTATTAAGCCTGTATGCATGCCATTTCAGAGTACATATGTGAAGCTGTGTGTTACAATACATATATTTGGGGAATATGCTTATTATTCTGTGTAAAAACACAGTTGTTGCTGGTCTTGCTTTTATAGTCACCACATACATGCATTAGGATAAATATTAGGTCTTTTATAGGACTGGGTTCACACTGTTGCACTCCAGTATATACATTACCATGCCATTCATTCTTAATGCTATGTTCATGCACCTGTGTTGCAGTGCACCACAACAGGCCGTAATCACTGCCATGTGTTGTGGTGCACTGAATTACAGAAAAATAGTGCGTGCATCATTTTTGGTGCGCTTTAGTGCAAAAAAAAAGCCCATGTGTTAACATGCATGTGTTTACGCACCACAACAGTGTGAATCCAGCCTTGCAGTGCTTAGAAATTGAGATAGAATTCTTAATGACTGAGGTAGCCTACTCGTATGGCTTTTTCCTTATTACCATCAGAAGTTCCTGCAGCACATAAGCGTATACAGTACTAATATATTTGCATTATTGATCTATGGTTTCCAAAGATGTTTAGACTAGGGATGCACCGATTACCATTTTTTCAGGACCAAGTATGCGTGCCGATACCAATTACCAATGCCTTTTTTTTGTCATCTGACAGTTTTTTTAAAAACAATACAGACTTATGATTTTAGAATAGTGGCGGATCACCAGGGCCCGGTCGCAGCGGCAATACTGCTTGTTCTGCCACTGACTCCCAAGCTGTAGCGGGACTACAAATACCAGCAATACATTACACAACAATGCAGAATACCAACAGCTATAGAGAACTACAAATCCCAGCTGCGTGTAGGGGTCCGGCCAGGGCTGTGCGGGCGAGTGCGATCTCACCAGGGCTGTGCAGGGGGCGGCGGGAAAAAGGAGATGTTTGGTCGGATCGGCTCTGTAAACATCTGCTTTTAGAGTCTGGGCATTTTTTTCACAGTACCAGTACTCGTGAAAATGCCCCGTATCGGCATCAATACTGGTATCTGTGCATCCCTAGTTTAGACCTTCTTCTTATTCCTTTTTTTTTTTTTTACTGATTCACTTTACATCTCTCACTGGAGCTTTATGGGGTTAAGATAGCATAGTGTTTTGGCTGTATGAACTAGTTTCCAATTATATAAACCAATAATTTACTGCTACCTAATTAGAACTGATTTTCTGCAAGCTGGAATTAAAGTATATGTGTGTAAAAAGCATGGCCTAGTAATAGAGGTGTAAAGTGTTTCCCTGTTTCTTTTCCAAGGAAAAGTTTCTGAAAATTGTTTTAAAAATGCAGCGTAGAGTACTTTTACAAATCGAAAGTCATTTTGTTACACTGGAAACATGAAATGCACTGTGCATAAAAGCAATAGGGGGAATATATCAAAACTAGAGCAGACAGAATCTGGAGCAGTTGCTCATGGCAACCAATCAGCATCTCGCTTCAGTTTGCTCATGTAAGATTTGAAAATGAGACAGAGAAGCTGATTGGCTACAGTGTAAATCTGCTCCAGATTTTGTCTGCTCCAGTTTTGATAAATTCCCTCCATTATGCGTTAAATAGACATCCAGCTTATTCAGTAAAAAAAAAAAAATATGCTTTTTGTAAAACTTAATTTTTTTTTGTTACAAATGGAATAAAACGTTAAGAACATTTCCACTGTACATGAGAACCAGTAACCACTCCCCTCTCCCTCAAAAGCAACATGAGCAAGAAACCATCAACATAAAAAAAACAGACCTGCCCCTCAGCACTAACTGCAAATAATAAAGTTAAGTAATTGGCATTATTTGTGCCAGTAGGATATGGACACATGGCATTGGGGGGTGTAATGAACACCTCAATATTTAAGCTCCATAGCGAGGTTTAACGTTGGAGTGGTGCTTTAAAAAAAATTAAATTGAGAAAAGGAAACAAAGACATAACATACATGCAATTTAATCTCTCATTTTCTGAACTACTGCTATCATTTTCCATTTCTTCTTCCTCCTTCATATTGTAATTTTTCTTATGGACTTCTAAAAAACTCAGTGACATTAAAACCCTCAGATTTTTTTTAACATAAACCAATACTGTAATGTGTGCCTTACTGTAATCCATGGTTGTTTCCCTTCTCTTTGCTGCTCTTCCTTTTAAATCTGTATCTGTTCTCATGCTTGGGGAGAACTTCCCTTTGCAGCGGAGTGCCTCTTCCTGTAGTGCTGGCTCAGGTGCAAACCTACACACAGACACCATGTAGCCATTCCAGAGACAAGGCAGTCTGCTGCAAAACAGAAGTTCTGCCCAGTATGAGAACAGATACAGATTTAAAAGGAAGAGCAGCAAAGAGAAGGGAAACAACCATGGATTACAGTAAGGCGCACATTACAGTATTGTTTTATTATTTCCACTGTACATGAGAACCAGTAACCACTCCCCTCTCCCTCAAAAGCAACATGAGCAAGAAACCATCAACATAAAAAAAACAGACCTGCCCCTCAGCACTAACTGCAAATAATAAAGTTAAGTAATTGGCATTATTTGTGCCAGTAGGATATGGACACATGGCATTGGGGGGTGTAATGAACACCTCAATATTTAAGCTCCATAGCGAGGTTTAACGTTGGAGTGGTGCTTTAAAAAAAATTAAATTGAGAAAAGGAAACAAAGACATAACATACATGCAATTTAATCTCTCATTTTCTGAACTACTGCTATCATTTTCCATTTCTTCTTCCTCCTTCATATTGTAATTTTTCTTATGGACTTCTAAAAAACTCAGTGACATTAAAACCCTCAGATTTTTTTTAACATAAACCAATACTGTAATGTGTGCCTTACTGTAATCCATGGTTGTTTCCCTTCTCTTTGCTGCTCTTCCTTTTAAATCTGTATCTGTTCTCATGCTTGGGGAGAACTTCCCTTTGCAGCGGAGTGCCTCTTCCTGTAGTGCTGGCTCAGGTGCAAACCTACACACAGACACCATGTAGCCATTCCAGAGACAAGGCAGTCTGCTGCAAAACAGAAGTTCTGCCCAGTATGAGAACAGATACAGATTTAAAAGGAAGAGCAGCAAAGAGAAGGGAAACAACCATGGATTACAGTAAGGCGCACATTACAGTATTGTTTTATGTTAAAAAATCTGAGGGTTTAATGTCACTTTAAGGTTTGCATGGATTGAAACAAACTTTGCTACCCTTTCACATGGCAGTTTGTTTCTTGATTTGGTATGAATATTACCAAACATAGACCAGATTCTTTGACATGCAGCAGCAGAAGATGCAGGAATCTGCAGTAAGCGAGATGTAAGAGGTGTCATAGGTTGTGTTTTGAGAGACCTTGCCACCATGATACAGGAGGGATATGTTTTGCAGAAATATTATGCTGTGATTGGAGAGAACATTAATGGGAATCACTCAGATAAAGGTTATAAAAATAAACTAATTTGTCAGAGGAAAGAAACTATAATCTAACATACATCAATAATCACCCACTGTACGAGGTACAAGATGGAGCCCACAAGCAAACTCAACTAAGACCTTTTCCCTGCAGTGCCCCCAGGAGGCAGGAATCAATATTTCTCTTATTTGAGAATTCCATTCAGTATAGTGTACTTGAATTGTATTCCAGGATTTGCCTGTCTTCAACTGAGAGAACTTGCAATGATTTGAGACTTTACATAAAGTCTTTCATTGAGGTCTTCATGTTGTATAGTTTGAATACCATGTCATAGACCTATTTATCATTGCAAAAGAACATATTCCACACTCCATATTGTTTTTCAATTTTTCCGGGGAAAAATAAACCGCCATTGAAAATGTTTTCAGTTTAAAATGTTTCAGTTTTTATTTTCCAAGCCTTCCCATCTCTAAATACAACCTGTCACTTATGGAGCAAAGGCTTCTATTATGATAAATCACAATGTAAGTACAAGTGGGAACTCCACTTAAAGTGACACTAAACTCAGAAGTTAAATGTTAAAAATGCATTAAAATACCTTAACTTTTAACAAAAATGTATCTTATTTGTGTATCACTCAGCTGTACATCCTCAAATAATCGCTGAATTTATGTTTACACTGTCCTTCCTTCTGGAGGGTGGCTACTTTTGTTCCTCATGGTCCCTGTGTGTGTTGGAAAGTAGCCACCACTCCAGGTTTGCTTCCCTGATAGACTACAATCTCACATTTAGTTTACTAATTTGTATTGTGATTGTAGTCCATCCCTGGGGCAAGTTTGGAGCGTTGGCTATTTTACAATACACACAGGGACCATGAGGAACAAAAGTAGCCACCCTCCAGAAGGAAGTGCAGCACAAGTCAGAAATGATTTGAGGATGTACAGCCGAGTGATACACAAATAAGATAAATTTTTGTTAATAGTTAAGGTACTTGAATGCATTTTTAAGGTTTAGTTCCTGAGTTTAGTGTCACTTTAATTCTTTCGGGAATTCTGTTTGATTTTTCAATACAAATATCCTTTCTGGTTTCAGCTTTCCATATTTTGTGTGTTTCAGATTATGTCGGCAGCAGAGACTTTGGCGCTTCATCCAACTAGTAAGATTGCTAAAGAAAACTTGGATGTGTTTTGTGAAGCCTGGGAGTCACAGCTAAGTGACATGTCCATTTTGGTGCGTGAGATTAATGATGTGTTTGAAGGGAGACGAGGTAAGAAAGATGATCAGGATTATCTGTTGGGTACAGTCTATCTGACCCCACAGTAGGGGGCACTTGATGGGTGTGAAATCGTTATTAAAAGTAATGGTTTGGTAAACATTTACACAAACCTAATGTTATATATATATACACAAGTAGATGGCAGTGGTAATAAATGTTTAGTTTAGGTGTTTTTGCTGCGGTGAATCACTTGCATAGTAAATGTCAGCTTTTAAAAAAAGGTTACAGAAACTTAGTACTAGGGCATTAGACTAAATAAATTATAAGCTCAGAATGTTTATAGAAAACCATCAGATTAGCTCAAGCAAATGGTTCAGATATGTAATTAGACAATATTTTGAGCAGTTTTTTTCCTTTAGCGCAAAATGTCTGAAGCAATTTTTAACTAACATTTATTTTTATGTTTTTTTGTAAAGGAACAATTTTTTGCTTAGAATGGTTAAGGAAACCATCAGATTAGCTCAAGCAAGAGATTCAAATATATAATTGGACAATATTTTAAGCTGTGTTTTTTTCCTTTAGCGCAAAATGTCTGAAACAATTTCTTTAGCCTGCACAGATAGACCATGAAATTACTCTTTGGAGAACAAGCCTGTTAATACGCTTCCTTTTAAAAACTGATGTTCTGTAGATTCTGGTTTCATTGAAAATGACTAGCATTCGCTAGATTTAGTTTAAACGGTTATTGCAACTAAAGCTGAAAATACAGTATTCATTAATGTTGTAGGAGCTTAACTTTGTTACAGGGTGAATGTGAATTAACAGTCTAAGGCCTCATGCAGAGGGTACAATCGGTGTGTGCTATATTTTTCTAATATCTTCCAGTATGGGATTTGTTTTCATACAACCACTCTACAAAAATGCATGCTTCCTTTTAGATTCTTCCTAAATGGTTCCAGTAAACTAACATTTCAATAGTTAGGACTCATTTAAAAACCCAACAGTTAAAACCACATATGCATTGCATTCCATTGAAACAGGCAGACTTCCTAAATAAAAGTTCTGTTAAATAGAAGTGAAGGCCAGGAGGAGAGCTCTGTGATTGGAAGAGAATCAATCTTTTGACTAACTCTCCATCAATCAAAATGGTCTCTCTGCTATATTAAGCAGCGAAAACTCTGTGGAACAGATAACACTATCTGCTTTCCATTTGTAATGAGCCCCTAGTGAAGGAAAAGTTTTTTTGTTTTGGTGTTGCCTGTTAATCCCTTTAGCCTAAAGCTGGCCATACATTTATAGATTATCTGTAGATTTTCTATGGTCAGTTGGAAAAAATGCAACAGATTCTTACATCTATGCTAAACTCTGTGGATGGCGGAATCTCCCGCTGGGCCAAGCTTCAGTATCTTGCTTGTCGGCCCCGCTGGCTGTCAAAATACCTGAACAATCTGACTGGATGCAGGCATTGTTCAGATATTTTGAGAGCTAGTGGGGCCAACTAGCAACATACTGAAGCTTGGCCCAGAGGGAGATTCCTCCATCCACACAGTCTAGCGTAGATGGGGGGAATCTGTTGCACTTTTTCTATCTGACCATAGAAAATCAGCAGATAATCTATAGGTGTATGACCAGTTTAAGATCCCCTCTGGCTTATATTATTCTTTTCACAACTCCACTTAAACCCATGGTCCATGCTGTATTAGTCAACAGACTTCTTGCTATTCACTGTTGCAATTGCCACCCAAATATGCGCTTTTGAGCTGCTGCTAGGCCAGTATGGCGCTTCTCACCTACCTCAATCTATCTTTAGCATTAGCTACCTGCTATATTCCAATCTAATCATAATCTTTGATACACACACATTGGCATCTAAATGTGTACACAAAATAATTGACCCTGTAGTTTAAAAAAATACCCACCCACACTTCCCAATATTAATGTATGGAATGATTCCACATACAAAAAAATTTTCATTAACCCCATGTTTCCTATAGTACTAATTATGTTGAGACTGTACAGTATACTGGATAGGGATTATTTACCACGTGCTGCTTTTTTAAATTAAATAAGGAAGGCTACCTATTTGAAAACTTTGTATAAAATCAATATCCAGAATTTTTCCTGGCTTTTTTAAAATAATGTATTATTATTATTATTATTATACCATGATCCTTAGCAGGAAAAGTCTGCTATTTCCCCCTATGGCATAATCTCCCCACTTGTGGGGGGAGCAGGTGCAGCTACTGGTGGCTTAGTTCTTTTTGATTAAGGCAGACCCCAGAACTACATCTTTGATAAGCCCTTTCCCAACAGACAGTGGGGTTGATTTACCAAAGGCAAATATGCTGTTAACTTTCCAAGGGAATTTGCACTTTGTAAGGGAATGTTCCCTTAACTCAGTGAATGAAGTGAAGCTCTGCTGACTTCCATTGTCCAATCACATGCAAGCAAAGATAGTTTTCTTTTCTTTTTTTTATTCCATGCCCGTGATTGGGTATTCTTCACCACATTCACATAGGTGTAACCTAAATAGCCTATCTAGTAGATTATCCCTGTTTGTGGGTAGGCTATTGAGAGTCAAAGCAGCAGCATTGCTGTACTGGATTGACAGACTGCAGCATACATCTCATAAGCCTCCCGCTAAACCTCCTATAATGAAGAACCTAAAGAAAGTTGTTTGCCCTTTTTTTTATATGGTACAGTGTTACTAGAGTTTGTACATAACATTTGCTTTATTTAAAAAAATGTTCCTTTAAGTGGGATTGATTGGAGATGAAGAGAACTGGATTTATCAACCCAAAGCTTGCAGTTTTAGGCATTTGTTTATTTCCATCAGGAGTAATGCTCAGTAATAATACTACTTAACATTTTTACTTTTACTATCACTACCTGCTGCTTACTGTTTAATTTTAATGGATTTTGTGTTCTTTTATTACAAGAAAATGCAGGGCACTGACAAGTATAATTTATATAAATAAACATGACTGCCAGTGCAGTCACCTCACATGAAGTATTTCAACCTAGTGATTACTTTCCATGTCAGATAATGTGCTCTTACTCGACTGCAATTATTCTAGAGTGAGTAAATTATGCTTCCATTTTTACGTCTCATTGCACAGGAATCTGTGTGTGAGCAAAATATAAATTAAGACAACAACTTGTTCAATGAATGCAATATTAAAGCTGACATTTCTTCCCTTAACAGACGTACTTCAGAAATATTTCCACACTGTTCTTATATTGTACACTTTTATTTTCTGCAGAAAACCATAGCAAGTATGCAGTGCTTTGCATAACGTTTTACCCCCTTGAACATTTTTACATTCTATAGTGTAACAGCCTGAAATTTCAATGGATTTAGTTTGGATTTGATATCACTGATCTTCAAATTGGCCCATAATGTTAGACTGGAAACTGTTCGCAGGCCATGTTATTTCAATGAATTGGGGCTGGGCATGACCCAGCTGTCTTGGTCCATGTTGGGATGAATGACAGAATACATGGAAGATGGAGGATCCTTAAAAATCAATTTAAAGAACTAGGTTGCAAGCTGAAGGGAAGGACCTCCAAGGTAATATTCTCTGGAATATTGCCTGTGCCATGCGCAACGCAGGACAGACAGCGGGAGCTTAGAGAACTAAATGCATGGCTGAAGACCTGGTGTAGGAGGGAAGGCTTTGGGTTTCTAGAGCACTGGGCCGACTTTTCATTGGGGTACAACCTATATGCTAAAGATGGTCTGCACCTAAATGGAAGGGGGGCTGCTGTGCTAGAGGAGAGGTTCATGGGAGGGTTGGAGGAGTATTTAAACCAGGATTAAGGGGGAGGGAAGGATGGAATATAATGGGGCAGATATGGCAAACAGGGGTCAGGCTATAATGGAGTGTGGAACAGGGGAAGATGGGGTGAGGGAAATCAAACTGGATAATGAAATTCCCATGTTGCGCACACACATTGGAGATGATAGTACTGATTGTACTACAGCAAAAAATAGAGCAATTACAAGTGAAAAATTTAAAAATGGCTTGAATTGTTTGTTCGCCAATGCCAGAAGTCTGCACAGCGAAATGGGAGAATTGGAAGCTTTGGTGCATGAGGAGAATATCCCTTCTTTAGCACTGCAATGGTTTCTATAAGTGGATACACTAAAAGGTCACTGACCTTCAGTTGTTGCCGGTCTACAAATTCTGTATTGGGCAGGACTTCTGGAGATTAAGCATTCTCAGGAAAATGGCTTCAGTCGCAGTTTCTCGAAGTGTGGCTTGGTGTTCTTCTGGTCATAATAGTTCCTCCGTGAAGAAGTCCCCCTTTCGTAAGAGTTCTATCATGAGGTCCCCCTTGATTACTTTTGCCTCCTTTTTATTTTAATTTCCCCATTCACTCAAATGAGGAATCCATGATTTGTCAACAGAACACAATCATATATTTCTCACATCAGTGAATGCACGGCAACTGAAGACTCTTATAAACTGTTAACTCATATAATAATGATATGATAAACTTGGGTCAGAAAAACTGTTTTCAGAGATAAAATTGGGTCCCTGTTTGTCAGCTTCAAAGACTTCAGTTGCCATCCAATCACTATAGTGAGAAACTTATGATTGTGTCCTATGAACCAATCATGGATTCCTCATATGAGTTAATAGGGAAAATAAGAATATAAAGGCAGAGGCAAAAGCCATCAAGTGGAACTTTGACCAAAAGGGACTTTTCATTGCGGAACTACTGCGACCAGAGAAACACTTTGAGAGAGAGAGAGAGACTGCAACAAGAAGCCATTTTCCTAAGAATGCTTAATTGCCAAGAACTCCTGTTCCATACAGAACTTTGTGAACTAGAAACAATCAAAGCTAAGTAATTTTTTTGTGTATCCTCTTGTAGAAACCATTGCATGTGGTAGAGAAGGGTGGCATGTTCAGTTGTATTTATGACTGTAGCAGCCTGTATCACTTTTGTATTATTTTGTCCTGTAACAAAGTAGTTTTGTTCATGTAGCATTGTTGTAGAGTAAGGGCCGGTTCACACCACAAAATCTGCGTTCCAGAGCGTTCGGCCACTGGAACGGCCTGCTCCCTGCGTTCAGGGGCGGGAGGGGGTGTGGCGGTGCATTGATCGCACTGATGGCAGGGGGCATGGCTGCAGTGCCATTGACTTCAATGCACTACCATGCCCCCTCCCGCCCCTGAACGCAGGGAGCCGGCCGGCTTGCCTGGCCCTAAATGTATGTTAACAGGAAATACTACTGGGTCAGTTTCCTTGGTCTTACTGCAAGAATTAGACAAACAAATAGCTGTAAAAGTTTGCCTAGCAAAACACAAGGGCAGTGAGAGTTGAGGTCTAGTGCAGTTGATTTTGGAGTACCTTACTTCTGTTTGGTAATTGGATGCTGAGGGAAATTAAGGGAAAGGGGGTGATGGGAAGGGTCTTAGTTAAAGAGGCTGTTCTTTTAATGTAAAATTACTTCCTTTATGGAAATGTTTCTGATGGTTTCACTTTTTTACTTTGTGATGATCATTGTGCTAAATACATGCAATCACTAATCATGTAAATGTAATAATGCACCAATAAAATAGCATAGTGTAAAAAAAACTCAGATGCGAATATCTGGTGATAGAAATTTAAGACAGTTTGTTCTCAAAGATGTATAAGCATTAAAAATGATATTTAAGTTTATTAAATGAAAATCCCAAAATGTCCGAGCATGTATTTAAATATAAGAAGTCTCCAACCACAAGATGGTTCCAGTTTTGGCCTAAGCATTTTGGTAGTGTAGCGGCCAGTGGCACCCCTTCAGTACTTGTACATCATTGCAGGTTTCCTCAAGAGGTATAATGTAATCAAAACAATCCGTAAATGTGTTTTGCTTCATCTCAACATCTGCATGCCATTAAGTTGAATAAAAGTGACTTTTCAAAGAAAACTAACTGGTCCTTTAAAAGAGAAATGCAAAATGTGTATAAATTACATTAGTAAACCTGCATAATCTTGCTCTCTTGAACTTCTTGCAGTACATAGCAAATTGCAGTACCTTCTCAAATTGTGTGGTTTAAAGTACATTGAAAAGGTTTTGAAAATTCATGCAAGCCCACAAATTATATAAAGCCATTAAAATATACAAAGATACACTGTGTTATAACAACTGCAGTATATTTAAAAAATGCTTTGTGTATACATTGTTTAGACATTATTATTATTATTATTATTATAACAACAAAGTGTTACCAATGTATTCTGGCCTAATTGCAGACCTGGCTATTTTTTTTAACAGGTGAGAAACGTACGTATCTTTCTCTTCCAAGACCCGGGGTAAGTTCACATTCTATGAGACGATGTCTATAGTAAAGTGATCCGTTAATCCCTTTCACTAAAAATCACATTCAGCTCTGCATGCTGATATGAAATCGTTACATTAATTATTTAAATGAATATATATATATACATAGTTACAGTTTTTTTCAGTTCCTGGTCCTCTTAGGCATTAGTAATCTAGTCCATGCCTAAGAGATGCATCCTGGGAAGGTTACTTCACAGTGCATTGCTGGGAAATCACATCTGTAAACTGCAAAGTCTCATGAGATCTCAGGAAAAGCTTTTTTTCCCTCTGAAATGATGTGCATGGTCACATGTGCCAGAGTTCCAGGAAGTAAAGGGAGAGAGCTACATTTGCTCTAACTAACAGTGTTATTCACAAAAAAGTGAAGAGTTTGGAGAAGGCAGGAGAAGTGAACAATCTAGGCCGATTTGGAAAAGTCTCTAATTCAGCTCACTTTCCAGTTCTGCTATTTTGGCCTAGAATGTTCACTTCTCCTGCCTTCTCCAAACTCGTAACCCTGTAAAAATGGTCACTGTGAGAAGGATGGGAGGAAAAGAATATATAAGGCATGCAAATAATACAAAGTCTGCAATTATCTATAACTATCTTTATAGATTGTCATTACTAAACATTTTTTAAGGTGCCTTTGTTTGAATTTTACTGGTCCTCTAAGTGTTGCAAATCTATTTTGTTTCACATTTTCTTAAAGTGACTTTGTAAAGAAAACAATTCATATGAAAGCAAAATACCTTTTAATATATGGCATTACTGGGATTGTTATATTGTGTCACTGAAGTAATAGAGGTTTTAAATGTAATTCTCCTTGTGTGCTTTCTGCATTCCAGACACTCTTAATGATGCCGTCACTGCCTGTCGGGCAGACTGATTTTCTGCCTGACAGGGATAGCATAGTTCCCGGCCCATGTAATCAAGGAGAAGGCCAGAAAAAAAATGTTGGATTAGATGCAGCCCTCCACTTGATTTGTGTGGCCCATTTAGGGATAGACACTTTGACTTCCCATGATAGACGCCAAGGGGAAAGAACCAATAATAGGGGCTGATTAGCGTAAACTATGGATTAATAGGGGGTTAATTAGTTTTAAAAAAAACACTTTTGAATTTTACTAGTCGGGTTGCTTTAACTGATATCATATGCAGATCAAAGGTCACCTCGTACGATCTGCAGTTGAATGAAACAAAGTTAATACAAACATTAATGTCATTTTAAAATGTATTTCCACTTTTACAGTCAAATTTGAGAAAACTCCTCTATGTTTTGGTTATCATTCACACAGCATACCTATAAACAATTTTTAAAACGTTTTACCTTTTAGATCTGTCTGTGTAGCAGGCCTTTGTAAGCCTCTCACTCAATTATCAAGCGACAGGAAACTGACTGTCCCCATAAAAAGACTAGGGACAGACTGAGCTTCCTTTCAGTAACATGCACTGCTGCTAAATATTTAAGTCCTTGTTGAGGCAGATATTGTTCAAATCTAGTTTACAACTGAGAATGAGATTTGCCAGCACAGTGCAGAAAGGCATAATTATGTTAACCATAACCTGCCCAGCCCCCCCTCCCTTGCATTCCAGAGCAAAACTTTGTACAGAGAACAACTTTTCTTCCAGAATAGAGCATGTCTTGTGCAAACAGCAATATTAAAAAAAGAAACATTTTCTGTTTTACTTGTATTGAAACTAACTGGAAATCTCTCCACTTGGGACACAAACAGCGGTAAATAACTGGCATGTATTCTTTCTCTTCCCCATTCTTTGCAAAACAAACAAAAAAATAGCAGCAAATGGGGAACTGAGCATCTGTGGCCATGATATGGTCTGTTTCAAATGAAGTGAACAGTATGATGAAAAAATAAGTTCCATCAGGTGATCAGCATATTCCTTTTAACCCCTTATGTCAACGATAAAACAAATCCTAATGCCTGAACCCAGCTTTGCTACTTTGGTGCGTGCTAGTAAAACTGTACAAATCTTTGCAACTACTTAGTGTATCCAGGTAATTTGTGCCTTGTTTTGTTCAGGAATGAATCGGGCCTTTCTTTGTGTCCTGGTATTTTATTTATATTCATTTATAATTATTAATATTTATTGCCAAAGGAAACTGGCCCAAAATATTTTAAAAAATGTTTTTTAAATGTTAGCTGATGTTTTTCCATTACCATGATCCACCACCAAAAAGAAAACCCAAAATAAATTCTGTTATTCCTGATGTGCAAAGGGATACCGCATATGCACACATTTTTGTTGTGTGTACCATAGCAGGGCCCAGAAACAATACTGCGCGTTAGATTTAACTACCTAAAAGACTGCCGCGAACTCTGACATTGTCCTGAACATTAACCTGGATTGAGCCCTGGGCTAACTATTTTATCTTTTGGATTTTGTGTTTTTTTGCAGGCTTGTCTCCTAGAGAGCCTCCATTCTCTAGAGGAGATACATTGTATCTCTTTCCTCCCACAAAGGAGAAGGAGATAGAGGGGAAGATGTCTCTTACTAGTGATCACTGTGATTAACTATCACAGTGATTTTGTGATCAGGACCAAGTCCTCGCAGCTCCTGATTGTTAGTCTGAGACCAGGAGCTATTGGTAACAGGTTGGTTTCTGTGCTTAAGGCGCGGTTTAAGCGCCCTCCCGGAGCAAAAACATGCCGCAAATGCGCAGTGCCAAGGAAGAAAGCACAATTCTGTGATGCCGTATATATGTGTTATGCTGGCAGGAACAGGTTAATATCATTAGCCAACTTGTGCTTTACCTCACAGATGCTGAAACGGAATATTTTACGCTTACTTGAGAAATCATAGGCAGTATGTTTGTAGCTATTGGGTTTATTATGTTCCAAGTGCTTTCAAGTTTAATAGTTTTTAGCCAACGTGTCACTTTAGGGGGAAATTGACACTTTTTTCCACTTAGTCTTGGTAGACATATATAAAACAAAGTTCTGGATATAAAATGTTATGAAGATCCTGTTTAAATTGCATGACATGTCTGAAAAGTATTCCTTTCATGTATGCCTTCTCCTCAAAGCAATGTACTCTGTAATGAGAAGTGCTTCAAACCATGCATTGGTTTCAAGCGTTATCAAGCCTTTAATCATTTTAATTTGGATTAAAGTAATTTACATTGAACGCAAGAATCTTCCCCATTTTGCTTACAGCATCACATTCGCCTGTCCTGTGACATGTTGAAAAATGCATGTATCACAACAAGGGGGTATGTTGATTTCAAGTGTTAACCAAACCATCTGGAAACACATGCATGAGCTGCAGAGCAAGTTAATCCTTGTCAAAAGGAAATCTGATCAGCAGATGCATAAAAAAATGAACATTAGTTATAATAGTGTAATCCTGTGGCTATAATTGAAGAATAGGAATGAGTATTTCAAACTAGGGACCGTTATCTATGGAATTAATGCAACACAGGTTTCTACTACTTTTTATAGGGGTTTTTTTGTTTGTTTGTTTTTTTAGAACAAGGTACATCCAAAGCTAAAACCTCTTCTTTTTTTTCTTTTTTTTTTGGACAGAGTAGGGAGTGATTAAAACTAGGGATGAGCTTGGGTTTGGACTGAACCCAAGCTAATTCGAACCTGGAAGAAATTCATCAGCCCCGCCCCAATCAGTTGCAGGTTCAAACCTTCAGCTTATCCACAGTGAAAACCCATCAGGTTTTGATTGCTGTTTGTGCTCCATTGGAGAGATTTCCTTTCTTTATCATAATTATTCACATTGGAATGTATAGCCTCTATATCTGTTCAAGAGCTCAAACTTGGATTATTCCTCACTTTAAAGGTGCCCATAAACCTTACGACCATCGCAAGACTTTTTTCTTGCGATGGTCGTAAGCTTAATAAAAGCTCGTACGATCTGCCCAACTTGGACAGGCAGATCGTACTTGCGAACATCGAAAGCGGGCGGGCTTCCAATGACCGCAGTGAGGGGCGGGCTTCTGATCACTGCAAACGGGCAGTGTGCGCACACCGGCCCGTTCGGCAGTTGTCGAACAAGCAGGCAGATTTAACAGCCTTTGAACGTGGGATGATTGTTGACGCTCGGAGCCATGGAGCGAGTATCAGCAAAACAGCAGAATTCGTTAAATGTCTTGCTTTTCAATACACTTTGTCCAACTGTCAACAAGCTTTTCTATTCCCTCATTAAAACATGTTTTAGGCAGAGCTGCGAGCCACAAATGCACCACTGTCTTCACTTCTTCATCAGAGGTGAATCTTGGTCCTCGAAGGCCTACTTTCAGGGGACCAAACAGGTGAAAGTCCAATGGAGCAAGATCAGGACTATAGGTGTATGCTCAATGTTGTCATCAGCGTCCGGCTTCTTCTTGATGGCTAACCCTTGTGTGACCTTCCTTGAACATCTCTATCCATTTATACACACTTCTTTGCGACAAAACACTTTCTCCATACTGCGCACAAAGTCTTCGATAAATAACTGCACCAGGCACACCCTCAGACCACAAAAAAACAAATCAATGCACACTGCTCTTTTTACGTGCAAATCACAAGTGGGGCATCCATTTTTTTTTCACACACCGCAGTTACAAATGAACTGACGTATCACATAACCCTGGAGAGACAGTAGCCTTGAATGGAAGGAGCTGATAAGACAGTGTGGCAAACAGAAGTTTTAATATTACCGGAATGCGGATAATTTCTGATATTATTTGTGTGTGTCTTACACTAACCACTAGTTTTTAGACGCTAATCCACTCGGAACTAAGTGCACTGAGCTACTTAGAGGAACTTTACCCATATATTTAAAATAACAACAAAGGAACCTTTAGAAAAGTTTAGAAATTACAATCTTTAAACAGATACTTCTAGATAATTGCAGACTTTTTATTCTTTGCATACCTTGTTTTTCTTTGCTTCCCCAGTCTTCTGACAGTGGCCATGTTTGCTAAGGGCAGGTTCCTAGATCTCCCTTTACTTCCTGGAACTCTGGCACATGTGACCATGCACATCATCTCAGGGGAGGAAAATGTCCCTGAGATCTTGTGAGATTACAGATTAGATGTTCCAGCAATGCACTGCTGATGTGACCTTCTCAGGATGCAATGCTTGGGCACATTACATCATTTGTTTCAAAGTGGACCAGGAAGTAGAAAAAAAAGAAATTGTAAGTAAAATAAGAATATGTTTAGCTAATGAATGTAAGATGATTTCATACCAGCATGCAGAGCTGTATGCCAATGTGATTTTTAGTCAAAAACACCAACTACTAGGGAAGTGCATGTGTGGTACTTACCATATGCTACTAGGATAGTGATACTGCATATATTATAGTGACCTACCAGATTGGGTTTTGCTGTGTATTACACACTTGGGTTTTGCTGTATATTATCCATTTGGAAATGTTGTATGTGAACTATTGCATTGTGCATACCTACTGTAAGGACCACAAATCCTGATTGCCATCTTTACTATCTGTGGGTTGGAGGCAACCCACAGACTTGCAAATATAAGATTACTGATTACCTCCCTTTGACATATGTTCAATAAACCAAGTAGCTCCAATTTTAGTGGGAGCTGAAATGTTTCTCATCTCTGTCCTTCATGGAAAAATACAAAAACTACTAAAAATGACAGGAACAAAGGATGATGTATATATTTAGCTTTATAGGTAATAAATTATAAAGCACATTCTGTGCGTCATCCTACTTGCAAGTAGTTTCTCTTCTGTAGTTTAAGATTTACCAACTTTTCTATACTGGCAAGCCAAGTTTCTTTCTTTTCATTTTTGTATCCTCTAGTCACCAAATTATCTCACATTGATTTACAATTACAAAACATTACAATGAGAGGATCTTGGAGGCTCTTGAGTTAAAACAAAAAAAAGTTTGTTTTTCAAATATTTACCAGTTTAACCTTGCTCGTTCTCATCACTAGCTGTTCACACAGTCATTTTGTTTCCAGGTTCATGAAATCATCCCAGTCCTTATCTATTCTCAGAATGATTGCTTATGTAATAAAGTATACAAAATCTTCATGGTTTCAACTGGGAGAACAGGCAATTTTGAAAAATGCGCTTCTGTTTTCATTTGATGGCTTTCAGTGTATTACTGAATACAGTAATGACCATTCTTGATATTATATTTCACAAGAAAACTACCCTGTCCGAAGAATCTAATAAAAGTATATTTATCTGTATGGTAAAATTGTAGCATGTTTGAGAAGTGCTATAATTGTGATTTGCTTCTCTAGAACCCTTTCTTTTTGACATCCTTTTCTGTATTCTTATAAATAAGTTAGAGGACACCAAGTACATGCAAGTTGTTTGGCTCCACTTTGTGTAGTTGTATTTTCTGAAGTAAAGTGGGTTCAAAGTGTTATGGAGCGTCTCACCTTGCAAAATGTAGTCTTATTTCATACTGTGTTCATTTCTTGTGCAGTTCAACAAGTATGATGTATTGAATCGAGTTAGATTGTGTTACAAAATTAAATGGACTTGACTGCTGCACTAACTCCTATGACAGGTGAATCATTCTGATTCACTAGATCACTCCAGTAACCGCCAAGCACATCACTATCATTAATTAATTGTGCTCAGAGGAATTACTGCCCTATTTATCAATCACATGTCGGCTACTGTGGGGAGAAAATGATTGTCAGATATTTTCCAGACATAAAATCCATAGCTACATGCTCCAAGGGATCCTAAGCCCTCACACTGACGCAGCGCTCTGATTTAAAGCACACTACAAATTGTAAGCACTTATATTGAATAGTAAAAGGGGAAAAAAGCCGAATAGCAACAAATTTAGGCTTACTTGAAGGCGTTCTAAAGTCTCAGCATATAGCCTATTATAACATCAGCATTGTAATAGTAATACATACTAGTTTTTGATAATGCAATCAAAGCTTACTTGAAAGAAATACCTTTTAATGTATTGAGTGCTGCCTTCCGTCTGCTTAACACGTTCAACATTCCCAGTGTGCTTTGCATCTCTTTTCCTGCTGCTTGATGTGATGCAATACCAATTTCTCAGGATTTCTAATAATGATATACCATTGTGGGAAGTTCAGACTTTGAGTTGTATTTCAGACAGCCAGGTTAACTAGAGTTGTGACACAAGGAAGTGCATATTCGCAGGGCTGAGTAAAATGGTGTCACTGAATTGATAAAGTGCATCCTATGGGCATCTTCAATATGTATGTTTACAAACGTCTAGATCTATATGGTTATTGGGAGTGGGTTAGAAGTGGCCAACGACTGGACACTGGAAAATGCTCCGTTCACCCAGAGATATTTCAGGACCTTTGTCTCAGGTGGTGGAGGCCGGACATTAACCTCCGGGCCTCCAGGTTCATCAACAAACTGGACAAGCCTAATCTAAGTCTTCCCTACTCTAAAATGCTTGCCTTACCTGCCTTGCAGGATCCAGATAGCGGCATTCTGGTGATCCTTATTGCTCCCAGCTAGCTCAGGATGGTAGCTGGACAAAGGTAAACTCCTGGAAGACTCTCTGTGGGCATTTCTGGATCATCCAGACCTCTGATCCAAGAACCGATATTCCACTCTGCTTGGTTGCTGGTTTTAATGGCCTGGCTGTCATTCCTACACTTCTGAAAGCTAGAACGTCGACCTTCCACAGTGATAGCATCACAGCTGGAAGGATTATTTTGCTTCATGCCAAGAATGAATCCATGGGACGTGTAATCTCTATTAATGGCCACATTTCTGCCTTTGCAATTCTCTTCCAGAGACCTTGACTGTAAATTAAAGCTTTTGTGCAGGGAATCACTTGTGTTGTTCCTCCAGTACACACTCTGGTGACTCAGTGAGACCTCATCTTCATTCTGTCAGTACTGCAGAAGCCAACCTTTGAACTTCTTTGAGATGTCCCACTGGCCCAAATTTCTTGCAAAGTATCCTTCCTCATCATCACTTCTATCAGGTGTGTTTTTATGAATTGGTGGTCTTGAATTGTAAAGATCCCTTTCTAGTTATCCACAAGGATAAGGTAGTACTGAGGCCTAGGGCCTCCTTTCTTCTTTCCACTTTAATCAGGACATTGTCCTACCATCCTTATGTCCTGCACATCCTAAAGATGTTTCTCTCCACTGTTTGGATATTGTTTGGGCTACTACTTCCATCCGCAAGTCTGACTCCCTCTTTGTAATTTCTGGGTGTCCTGATATGGGGCAGTATCTTCTTTCAATATCACTAGGTGGATTTGGCCTACCATCCTCAGGCCCATGAGCTGATAAGTAAAGTATCCCCCCCCCCCC